GCGTTATACGTTCCATGCTCTACTCTCCACGGACAATGTATCACTAGTGACTGTAGGAGGGAAGTATATATTCCTTGCGTAGAGAAAAGACACACGTCTTGCACTGAAAAACACACCGTGAAGACTGTGCCTTATATTCATATTAGTGTAGAATGTTCGACTGGCGCTCCCGTCAGAAAGAGTATAATGTATAGAGAATGAAAAGAGCATTGTTGTATAATGGGCCGGTGGCATTCATTCATTCAATGAGGCCATTACTGATTTTCAATGATCCGTTGATATAAATGTCTCCGCTAGTTTGCTTTTCAGCCAAATGGAATCTGTTTCTAAGAATTGTCAAGACTCGTTAATATTTTGTATTGACGTTAAATATTTAGGTGCCAACTTTATGCTGGCTTACTAGCTTCAATGTCTGAAATATGTGCAAGAATATGTATATTGATGCCAAACACCGCTTAAGTGTACACACCCCAATATTGCCTTTATAGACCTGTGTAGGTGTGTCTTTAATTAGGATGGGAATCCCATTCCCAAAACACTGTACTCCACCAATGTCTATTATTTTGATATTTTCGACATGGTATTAACATTCTGTGTAGTTAATGTAAAGCTAGGTTACCTGTATACTTAAGAGCCGTGAAATGCATAAAATCTACATGTAACCATGTTGTTCATTATTTTTCTTCCATGAATGTGAGTGAGTGAGTGGCTTTAGTTTTACGCCGCTTTTAGCAATATTCCAGCAATATCACGGCGGGGGACAAATTCACCTTCCAAAATCCGAACAGTTCACAGTACAGAGTGTTTTGTCAACGGTATGCGATCGCACCCTGGCAGTACCGTCCCTTGCTCACAATAAGTGTTTGGGTGGTTGCCAAGAAAAGATTGTTCCCCTCTTCAGTAAGAGCACTGGCGACTGCCTGTAGAGTTGCCCGAAAGACAGGACGTCGTGAGAGGGCAATGTGTCGTTTGTTTCACACGTGTTCGATAGGTTGAAGACTGGTGCACGAGCTGGCTACTCCATGCGGGTAACCAGCAATGACCCTGGCGCTCGTTATCATCCTTGAGGCAGAAGACGCCGTAGGACAGTTAGGGACCGCTGGACTGTATCCGTCAGACTCTTCGTCCGCCGCTCGCTTCCAAAGGATAAACATATGGACGGAATATACTTGAGAATTAGACATCCCAAAACATCTGTTTTGTTCAGTTTTCAAATTTTGAATCAAGAACTTTGGCAGTACAATATTTAAAGTATTGTTTGCGATGGTTTGAAACAAGCGCCGTATGTCTCAAGAAAGCTGCGTTCTGATTGTTGACTTGAGAACCACTTCATTGGTCGGTCAAACCTCGCGTAGGGTCAGTTACCGCCATACTTGTCTTGAGAAAACCATTATAAAGGCACCATCTACTACTGTGGCTATAATTCTCCTATTGTAGGTGCAGTTGATATGGCATATAACACTGTGGCATATACTCTCCAGTCAGTCAGCATGAAGGGGACCAATACCTTCTGCATGTGTTCCCTAAATGTATCAATCGCATCGTCTTTTCTCTCTAAATTCCTATCCGAAAATCAGAACAAGGTAATTTGGCCAGTTTAACTTCATTTAATCATCAGATATATCCATGTTAGTTTTCGCTGTCTTGGCTGATCCATGATTTTGGCTTGGAATTGCTGAGGTAGCTGTTTTCGGTGAGTCGTGGCGTATAACTTTTAAAATAATGATCCGATTGTGACCATTTATAGCTCCTTTTGCAGGCAAATCATCTAGCTTTCGATCCGCCTCAGCGGGGCCTTAAAACTATTTTATGTGGTGAAATCTAACTTTGATTGAGGAGGGGTTCGTCGTTACATCCCTTTCCTTTTATATAGTAATAGGGTTGGATCTATACACGTATATGTTTTTCCAACGCTGCTTCTAAGCGAGACACGCCACTATCGGTTCAACAATATTACAAACAAAGTAATTGAAACATACAGGCTATCTTGACTTGAAAAGAGGACTCTACTTAAAACCAAAACAATATGTCATTCAATGGTTTTGTCGTGTACATATTCTTTTAGGTTTCTTTTAGTACCCTTGAAACTTGACAGCATGAAACGTATAACCACTCATCAACCCCCAAGACTGGACTACCTGTTGACTTTCTTATAAGAATCAAATTAGCTACCTAGCCATGTTAACTGTTACAACATAATCGCATGAAATGTCGCACTTCTGAATACCCTAGCAGCAGTACACCATACACACTACTTCATGTAGCTTCTCACCAATACCACACATGGACGTCTCCTATATCAAAGCAGTCAAAGAAGATCGTTTTAATGATATATTATGAATATATAATTAGTGAGTGACTGAGTTTAATTTTACGCCGCTTTTACCAATATTCCAGCAATATCAAGGCGGGGGACACCAGAAACGGGCTTCACACAGTACACCCATCGAACCCGCTTCTTCGGCGTGACGAGCTGACGCATTTACCACTAGTACCCCAATGCCTCTAATATATAAATAAGTAATAAAATAATGATTAATTAACCCATTTACTATCTGATTTGAAGTCAACAGGTCATATTCTTGGTTTTAATTCAAATTTCTTCAAATGCATCACTAACTGGGGCAGCTCCCACATATTGCATCCTGAAGTCAATGTGTCCAGCATCCTCTAACGAAACCAATGTATGTATACATCTCATGTCAGAATGTCTTGGACTATTTCATTCATCTGGAGGCAGTCAGTTACCTTTTAGGATGACATGAATATTGTGTTCTGCATCTTGGAAGATTCGCCATCTGTACCCACATCAAGCAGTATTAGAGATGTAAATTTGTTCTTCTCCAACATTTCCAGCATTTCAAGGCAGCACTTTCCACCTGGCACCCAAACTGTTCTGGGCATGCAACAAGCCATACGTGTGGCTGCCGTCCCTTTCTCCCGAAGATCAGGTTAGAGCGTCAAGAAACTGGCTAGCTATTCTCGAAACGTTCGTAGCCCTACGAACTTCTTACGCCCATTCTTAAAACGTTGGCTACGATCAAACTTAAGAATTCTTAGGGCTACGAACGTTTCGGGAATAAGGGCACATATAAGTTGAGACAAATCAAGAACGTTGCAGTCAAGAGTTTGGAGGGAGTAAGTGAATATGGTTTTATGCCGCTTTTAGCAATATTATAGCAATATCGCGGCAGAAATGAGCTCCACACATTGTACCCATGTGGGGAATCGAACCCGGGCCTTCAGCGTGACGAGCAGACGTTTTAACCATCAGGTTACCCCACCGCCTCCAAACGTTTGGAAGCCACGCAGTCTGTCAACTGTAGTGCCCCAGATTTGGTAGATCAATCTCAAGAACGAAAAGTTGCCGTTCTGTTTATATGAATATACCCAGCAGGTTATGCCTTTCTTTTTGTTTGTGTGTAGAGACCCGTGAAAATCCGGGTTAGAATTGGCCTTAAGCAACCTATGTTTGTCATAAGAGGCGACAAACGGGATCGTGTGGCTTGGCTCGCAGATTTGGTTGACACATGTGATCATATCCCAATTGCGTAGATCGATGCTCATGCTGTTGATCACTGGATTGTCTGTTCCAGGCTCGATTATTTACAGACTGCCGCCATATAGCTGGAATATTGCTGAGTGCGGTGTAAAACTAAATTCACTCACTCACACTCACCCAATTACATGTAGATCGATACTCATGATGTTGATCACTGGATTGTCCGGTCCAGACTCGCCGCCATATAGCTGGAATATTGCTGAGTGCGGTGTAAAACTAAATTCACTCACTCACACTCACCCAATTACATGTAGATCGATACTCATGATGTTGATCACTGGATTGTCCGGTCCAGACTCGCCGCCATATAGCTGGAATATTGCTGAGTGCGGTGTAAAACTAAATTCACTCACTCACACTCACCCAATTACATGTAGATCGATACTCATGATGATGATCACTGGATTGTCCGGTCCAGACTCGCCGCCATATAGCTGGAATATTGCTGAGTGCGGTGTAAAACTAAATTCACTCACTCACCCAATTACATGTAGATCGATACTCATGATGTTGATCACTGGATTGTCCGGTCCAGACTCGCCGCCATATAGCTGGAATATTGCTGAGTGCGGTGTAAAACTAAATTCACTCACTCACACTCACCCAATTACATGTAGATCGATACTCATGATGTTGATCACTGGATTGTCCGGTCCAGACTCGCCGCCATATAGCTGGAATATTGCTGAGTGCGGTGTAAAACTAAATTCACTCACTCACACTCACCCAATTACATGTAGATCGATACTCATGATGTTGATCACTGGATTGTCCGGTCCAGACTCGCCGCCATATAGCTGGAATATTGCTGAGTGCGGTGTAAAACTAAATTCATTCACTCACCCAATTACATGTAGATCGATACTCATGAATATATAGCTGGAATATTGCTGATTGCGGAGTTAAACAACAAACAATACACAAACATATTTACATGGCCTTTGCTTCTCGACTAGCATTTCAAAGCAAGCCAGTCAGCAAATGGGGCTTTCACAACACAACAAACTCCGGGACCTGTCATTCCGTTCACCCGTACTTGACGACACACATAGATTTAACTGAATAACTCTGGAAGGTGATACTACTTGAGTTGAAACAATACACAATCACAACTTTTCAAACATCCTGAAATGACTATATACCGAGTACACTAACCTTCCATATAATGCTGAGTACGTGTAAGTTGTAACACATCATTATCAGACTTCGTTACATTTTGACATGATACCACTACCATTTACATGTGTGGTGTATTAACGTGTCTTCCAGTTCCGCTGTGCTGTTGATGTTAAACACATCGAAATTGTGCTAAAAGGGACGATTTAGATTTCATGTCATGACATCCGGTTGAGGTTCAGCTATATATAGCTGTATGAATACAACGACTACGCTTGCACTCCGCAAGGTCAAGGGTGTTCACGTGGGGACGTGATGAATGTTTTTCTACAATGGCGGCTGTGAACAGATCGTTCGGCTCAGCGGATTATGCTGTGTTTATTACATCCCTGGTTTTGTCAGCTGTTGTGGGAATATTTTATGCCTGTAAAGGGGGACGACAGAAAACTACGGGGGAATTCCTGATGGGAAACAGAGATCTGCAAATACTGCCGGTGTCGCTGTCAATTCTGGTGTCCTTCCTCTCGGCGATTACCATCCTCGGCACTGTGGCTGAGATGTACACAAATGGAACAGAGTACTTTCTGTACGTCTTTGGAATGGTCTTTGGCATCATCCTGGCAACTGTGCTATACATCCCTTTGTTCTATCCCCACGGCTTTACAAGTTCCTTCGAGGTTTGAGATTAAATCATCATCTTACACTATTTCGTTGACGGTTGGACCGGTGTAGATCCGGGTTAGAATAGTCTTCAGCAACCAATGCTTGTCGTAAGAGACAAACGGGATCCGGTGGTCAGGCTGGCGTACTTGGTTGACACATGCCATCTTTGCTCAAGTGTGTAGATCGATCCTCATGCTGTTGATCACTGGATTGTCTGGTTCAGACTCGATTATTTACAGACCACCCCCATATAGCTGGAATATTGCTGAGTGTGGCGTTACACAGCAAGATAACAACACAAATGTTGACGCTCGCATGGAATGTTTTAGTGCGTAGTATATAGATTGTTTTACGTACGGAAGCATGTTGTTTCACTTTTACGTACAGAAGCATGTTGTTTCACTTTTACGTACGGAAGCATGTTGTTTCACTTTTACGTACAGAAGCATGTTGTTTCACTTTTACGTACGGAAGCATGTTGTTTCACTTTTACGTACGGAAGCATGTTGTTTCACTTTTACGTACAGAAGCATGTTGTTTCACTTTTACGTACAGAAGCATGTTGTTTCACTTTTACGTACGGAAGCATGTTGTTTCATTTTTACGTACGGAAGCATGTTGTTTCACGCTGAGGAGCAACTTTAATCTTTGTTTTGTCAGGCTCGGTGACGTGGACGAATGCGCGTAATCGTTTCAAGATAGGTTTGCTTATAATATCAATCACTGGTCTGTCTGGTCCAGATTCGCTTATTTCCAGGAGTTGTATAGCGGTGTATGGCACAACCCATGCGTTAACATCCCCCTGTTAGCGTTATACAATATACTGGACGATCGACACAAGATGTTAAAGCAGTAATTCTACTGTGAAGCATCACCTTACTTCTTAATTAGGATTTGATTTTCATTGCAGTATTTGGAGAAACGGTTCAACTCCAGAGCGGCCAAACTAACCGGCACTGCTATAACTATATTCCAACAGGTATGTGTTCACTATAGTCAAGACCCATGAAGATACGGGTCAGAAGTGATCTTCAACAACCCATGCTTGTCGACACATGTTTGGTTGACACATGTCAAGACATCCCAAATGTGTAGATCGATGTTCGCGATGTTGATCACTGGATTGTCTGGTCCAGACTCGATTGTTTACAGGCCGCCGACATATAGCTGGTATATTGCAGATTGCTGGGTTGATCAACAAACAAACATTATTGTCAAGAATACACCTTACGCTGCAAGTTGTACTGTTTTCTCTCTTCTTCCGAGCCCCACGTGTGATTCACACCGGTGGCCTACGGGAGACAGGGGGCGGTGGGGTAGCCTCGTGGTTAAAGCGTTCGCTCGTCACGCCGAAGACCCGGGTTCGACTTTCCACGCTTGTATAATGTGTGAAGCCCATCTCTGGTGTCTCCTGTGATATTACGAATGACAGGCCTTTATGGATGATCAGCTTCTTTATTGTATAACAGCGACGTTTTGGTATAGATACTTATGTCGTTTTCAAGCATGACATTGTTGGAACATTGCTAAAAACGGCGTTAAACTAAACTCACTCACTCACTACAGGAGAGCTTTCTGGCCGAGCTGTGCGTCACTAGTTTCAGACTAACGACGCCCATTCCGGTTACACTTGTCAAATATTTCGAACATTCAAAATTTTCTTTTCAAAATTGGAAAACTGAACATAAGAACATATTTGAACGGCTAATAGCTGGCCTCAATGTATGACAACACTTCCCAAAGGCTATGTACGTTTTTATTCAAATGTTTATCCTATCAAAGTGAGAGAAAGACGGAAGATAGATAGAATCCGTCCTGCGGCATAGCTATATGACGGCCATCTGTAAATGTGTAGATAGTCGAGTCTATACCAGACAATCCAGTGACTGACCTGTGATGAATATCCTCACATATTTGACCAGCGTTAGATCATTTTGAAAACACTGAGTTTACATGAAACTCTCTTCCGGAGCGATTGAACTACACCTAGTATATGTTACCGCCAGGCGAAGCGTTTGCTCTTCTCCTATTGCCAAGTGGGAATTGTTTATCTTGAAGCTCGGGATCCTGAGTCAATGTACGTTGCACGACCTCGATCAAGTATACCTCCAGCTTAGTCCTATTGCTGAGTGTGGCTGTTACGACGTAAATTGTAATAAAAACGCAAATTGTAATACTTGCAGCAAATTGTAATAAACTTGACGTAAATTGTAATAAAAACGCAAATTGTAATAAAAATTGACGTAAATTGTAATACGCAAATTGTAATAAAAATTGACGTAAATTGTAAAAATTTTCGTTCCGGTAAAATGTAATAAATATATACGTAAATTGTAATAACAGTTTTAATCACTCGTAAATACGCGGGTGTTTGTTTTTCGTTGCATTTCATACATCAAATAAGCTTGTTAGGGCGATAACTCAAGAAAGAAATGACGGATTTTGTTCAAATTTGGTACCAATGTATATTGGCGAGATTCACCGACACAAGTGAAATGGAGTAACCTTGAGATAATTTTCAAGGTCACAGAAAAAATCTGAGGGTTTTGCCAATATAAAGATTGTCAGCGCGATAACCCAAGAAAGAATTGACAAATCTTAGCCATATGACGAAAATGATATTCGTCCTGATATATAATCGATATAAACTGTCCTCTGTATCATGTCTTTTCGCAAATATCTTGTGAGGTTTTGATATGTATAAATATAGAGTGGGGTGGGGTGGGGGTGGGTTTCTAACGGGTATTTCAAATCAAATAAATTCAAAATAGACATTCGTATAGCGTTGCATATCCAGAGTCCTGCTAATGTGCGCTTAGTCGAATGCTCGTTTGAAGAGGATGGTTTTGAGACAAGATCGGAAACTGTTGATATTTTCCGATTTTCTGACATTTTCAGGTAATCAATTCCAGAGTACAGCACCCGGTCTGCTAAATAATCTGTCTCCGTATGTTGTGGTTCGGACAAATGGAATAGCCTAGCTGACTAGCAATAAAATGCATCACAAATTAAACTTCAGGAAACAAAATATGCAAGAAACATTTTTGTATGTTTGAGATTGGTAGAGGTCGGCTAGAATCGAACTTAGATATTAAACTGCACAAAAAGGCAATTTCAAAACCACAATCGCTTGTTCAAATGACTTCCCCTTCGGTTTACTGAAAGAACTCGAGAAAGAAATGATGGATTTTGTTCAAATTTGGTACGAAGGTTTATTGACGAGATTTACCGACACCACTTGAATTTAGTGACCCTGGGGTCATTTTAAAGGTCACAGGGAAGGTGTAACAGTTTTGCACATGCCAAGCTTGGTAGCCGCGAACTTAAAAAAAAAGAACAAAAAAGCAATTTTAAGCTATAATCGCTTGTTCAAGTGACTCCCCCTTCATGTGATTACTGAAAATACTTGTTTTGGAGACACTACCCACCCCCTTTTAGTTGACGTCATCATAAGGATATAACTCATCCTAAAGTTTTCACTTATTCATACATGGTGTCAAGGGTTTAAACTAAATACTGAATGGTCACACAAGTGTCAGCTCTCAATATGTTGTATATCTGGACACAATGTTTTTGAAAATTTAAAATGAGGGTGTCTTAAAAAAAAAAACAGTCCCCGTCTAAATGTAAATCGAGCAATCCAAATCTTTGAATGTTGATGATGGGAAGTCATCCAATGCTATGCTGAACATATTTTATGTGATACTATCTGAGGGTATACCTTTATCCAAGAGATGGCGCAATAGTGCAGTTGTAAGGCGTCTGCCTATCACGCTGAAGGCCCGGTTTCGAGGAGGCACCCAGGTTCGGGTCCCGAGATGGGCACATTTGCGTAGTATCCTTGGACAACATACTTAGATCCACATTGTCTCAGTTCACCCAGCTGTAAAATGGGTACCCGTGAGTATGTGCTGGCAATGTGAGTGTTTAGTTCATTGCGCCTAACAGGCAGCATGGCTATACAGTCCCCAGGGAGTTGAAAAAGTATCTGAAACTACGATAGTGTCCTATGGTCGGGGAAAGTAATGTACGTAGCGCCGTGATCAGGCAATGTGCCTGGATGTGAGCGCCATATAAACGGACTATTACTATTACTAGATACCAAATGGGAGATCGTTTTCCATTGTCTGCAAATTTGTAAGAAACATAATACCCCAATGTTGTGATGACTAATATCTCGTTAACCACATTACCCACATGAAATTTTGGATATGACTTTGCTAATGACTCCTTCAAAATAAAATGGAAGCTTTTCTTCAAACATTGGACATCGAGAATATAGTCAGTTTGACTACTTTTTCAACGCCCCTCGTAACATACTTAAAAGAAAAGAGAGCGTCTAAGGAAAAAAGCATTTCGATCTCTGAATACTTCTGAGCTATTTAAATACAAAAAGCAAAGGAATAAGTAAATAATCTAAAAAGAATAGCAAAGGGAAACTTTTAATCTATTTTTTATCACCTCAGTCTACTCAATCAGGTGGTGACTACTTCATCGGGACCCATTCCCCTTCTTGTCACTGATGATTCTGGGATACCTTCAGTTTTTACAGATTTGGATAAAGCTCAAACATTAAATGAATATTTTGTATATGTTTCAAATGTTACTGATGGCGGCAAGACCTTGCCACCTGTTAGCCATCGCTGTGGTATCAGTATAACAAATGTCATTGTAACCGAAAAGGAGGTATCTGATAAGACCGTACCAGCAAACAAACCTAGTGGACCTGATGGCATTAGCATGAGAGTGTTAAAACGAATTTGTACATCTGTAGCTGAACCTCTTTGTTTGTTGTATAATATATCACTGAGTGACTGTATTTCCTACATTGTGGAAAACGGGTAATGTTACTCCTATTTTGAAAGAAGGAGGTGCATTCCTCCCAACTAATTACAGACCTATTAGTTTATTACCTATCCTTGGGAAAATCCTTGAAAGAATAATGGTAAAGCATGTGCACGACCATTTCCATGAACATAACATTTTAAGTAAATTCCAGTCAGGTTTTACTGCTAGTCATTCTACTACATCTCAACATAGACATTTATCATAATATATGCTCAGTCCTAGATAATCACCACCTTTACTGTATGCTGTTTTGTGATATTTCAAAAGCTTTTTACAGGGCATGGCATAAAGGTTTATTGCTCAAATTAGAATATGATGGTATTCTTGGAAACGTACTTAGTTGGTTAACTAACTATCTATCTGGGCCCGGTTGTTCAATACTCGGTTATCTTAAACGCCGGTTAACTCCTAACGGACGGTTAAATTCTTTACCGGCCGTTAGGTAACCGAACGTTAAATATGCGTTGTTCAAAACATGGTTAGTCATGCCGTTAGCTAACGTCGCCGTCAAAGTTTAACAGTGTTGTTAACGTCACTGGTTAGCTTCCATATATCCCATAGTTCCGTTTTCTGTTTACTTCCGGTTTACCAAAAATGGAAACGCAAAATGTCGCCTGCACCCCAAGGAAAAAGAGAAGTCGAAATTTCTCTGCTGACGATGAGAATGTAATCTAGTCAATGGTTGAGGCCAACTCTATAGTTTATCATAGACATGCGAATGTCGTAGCGTTACGAACGTTTTGTATTGGAAAATAAGGATCCAGCCGTTTGCATAATATATATTTCAAAGACATATGATCCCAGGTCTGTGTGGGACTTACTTCAATTCCAAACAGAAAAGACATTTTAATGAAAACGATAGCACAGCTATAGATAAAATATGATGAATCCATGAAAATAATATTAATATTAGAAGCATGTTGTCCGTGGATAGAAAATGTATAAATATTACACAGAGTTACGCTTAGACGACTACAGTCTTAATGAATCTTTGAATTCCCACAAGACCTATCGCTTACTTTTCACTCCTTAAATTGTCATGACTGTATGGCCAAGCCGTGAAGATGCTATCAATATCATTCATTAATTATTTGTCAAGTCTGTCAAAAACTGTAATGTATGAACACACAT